GCCCTTGTCTGTGGTGCCATGGGGAGGGGGACAGGGACGACAAGGCCCTGACTCGGGCACAGTGTTAAGGTCCTGATCAGAGTGTGCACAGGGAATGAGCGGCCGAGTAGGGATGAGAGAGGAGTGCTGAGGAAAGGCCTCGGCAGGGCTGTGGGCATGAGGACGTGGGGCAGGTGAGCGAGGAGCCCGTGCTCAGGGTCCGGCCCGGGCTGCTGGGTGAACACTGCTGCGGTGGAGGGGATCCAAAGTCACAGAGAGGTTCGAGGCCTCTGCCAGGCCGGACTGGACACAGTCAGTTTGAGAGACGGCGGGGGTGGGGGGGTCCTCCAGGATGACTCGGTTGGTAGTGGCCATGTGGGTCCAGAGGTCTGACCCCAGCCAGCAGGAAGTTGTTGGTGAGAAGGGTTGGGGGTGGTTTCTGGTGTAGGAGGAGTGTGCACCTAACTACCTCCCTCCAAACTCACACTGGTCCCCACACCCTCGAGCTACACCCCTATGAGGGACCCCCCCCAATTCCCGGGCAGCCTCCTTTCTTACCTGAGCCCAGCTCAGCTCCACACGGGGACGGAGGCTTGGGGGTTGCTGGGGCGATGCCCTGGAGATGTGCATGTGAAGGTGCTTCCGCTTCCGCACACTGCTCCCAGCTGGCTACGCAGCGGGGGTGGGCTGCTGTTTTGGGTGCCTGGGGTCTTGCCTCCAGCCTCAGACTTACCTGACAGAGAGGAGAGCACTTAGAGGGACTCACCAGCTCCCAAGGCTGCGCTGCCCTGGGCCCGGCACCTGACGGGTGGGGACTGTCCCATGTGGGCCCCTCAGAGCCTCAGCCCCTCCCCATACCCAGCCCCAGGAAGTAGACTTTACAGGGCAGCCTGGGTGCCCAGACCACAAAGCAGCGGAGCTGCTCCCATTTTCCTAGAGCGCCACCGGCCGGGCCTGTCCCCCAGTCATTCCCTGTGCTGGCTGGGCCCGGTCCCGGGCTGCCAGCCTGTGCCTTAGCTGGGGAGAGCAGGAGTCACATTTAACAGGCATCAGTGCGAGGGGCGGGGAGCCTGGCCTGGGGGGTTCACCCACTCACCTCAAGGTGCACAGCTCCATGGAGGGCAGCGCCACCAGCGGTGGCTGGTGTTTTCTGTACCCGTGGTCAGGAGAGCCCCAGCCCAGCCCAGGGGCCAGGACACACCTGGCGCAGCATGTGCTCTGGCGAGGGGAAGGAAGGGAGACCTGCCCGCTGCCTGGCCTGCCCTCCCTTGGCCTCTGTGCACCGTCACAGCCAGCCGTCCGCAGGGCCCTGCCTGGTCTCTGGCACAGCCTGCTTGTCCTCCTGGATGGCCCAGCGCAGTGTCTACTGGAGCAATCGCAGGAGCCAGGGCTGAGGAGGCCTGGGACTAGGGTTCTGTGGGTCCTGGAGTACAGGGAGGGCCTGTGGTGAGAAGGGAGTCCCAGCAGAGCCCAGGCTGGAGGTGGACGTTGAGTGCCCCCTTGCTCCCCCTCTCCCCATGGGGTGTGCGGATGGGAGACTCGGACAGGCTGGGGCCACCCCTCTGGATCGAAGCTGTGCTGGCTGGGAGGAGGGAACAGACTGGCACATGAAGCATCTTGGCTGTAACCACAGGAGGGTTAGGTGAGCGGGAGAGGAAACCACGGGACTGTGGAGCCAGAAGGTGCCAGTGGACGCCTGGTCCAGGGAAGAGGAGACCCCGGGAGGGCCCTGGGTCAGGTGAAAGGGTTCTGGCTCAAGCACTGTTGCTTAAGAATTCAGAGGCTCTGGAGTCACATTCCCGTACTTTCTCTGTGCCTCTGTCTCTCCATCTGTACCCTGGGGGCCACCGTGGCCTTTATCAGACCCTTGGGACATTCTGAGTCCCCTCTTAGTCCAGGAGGGCAGCAGCAGCTTCGCTTGATCCATCTCTACTCCATGAGCCTGACTGGAGGTTTTTAAAGGGGAAACTGAGCCCTTCCCCATCCTGAGAACTCGCTCTACCTACCCCGGCCCACACCACCTGCGCCTGTGTCTCCTGCTGTGTCCCCTCCTCCTCCTGGACAGGGATCCCCACTGCTGGGCTGGGCGGTTTCCCCCAACGCCTCTACCCTCTCAGGACCCTTCCTGTTGTGTGAAGTGCTGTGTCTGTCACGGCCCCATCCGACCTCCACGCCCACTGCCACCACTCCTCAGGCAATGCTCGGACACACGCCCCCTTCACCTGGCCTTGGCTGGCCGGGACCCAGGAAGGAGGAAAGGGGAAGAGACCAGGCGAGACCCAGAGCGCTCAGGCCCAGCTGGCTGGACTCCAGGGCAAAGGCAGTGACCAAGGGCCCGCCCCCCCCCCCCCCCAGTCTCCTGCTCCCGACCACACTGGCTTTCTGGGCCACGCAGACTATTTTTGGCAGAACCAGGGATCGAACTCAGTACCTTGCGCTTGCCAGGCAGGCACAGTGCCACTGAGCCACACCCCCAGCCCTTTGCCCGGTAGACTCATGCCTCAGTTTACCTTGCCCTGTTAGACCGCCGCGCCCTTGCTTTTGCTGTCAGATGGATCCTTGGGAAAGCACCTCTGCTGAGACCCACAGACAGCCACCGTCCATTTGGGTTTGTGACAGCCCCGCTACGCTGTGTGGGCTGAGACTGCCAGGAGGCCCCAGAGCCCCGACCCAGCTCTCGCCAACCCCATCCATGGGGAGCCGTGGTCCTCAGGGTGTCTGTGGCACTGAGTCAAATGGAGCAGCAGGGCCCTTCCTGGAGCAGGAGAGTCTGTGTCCTGGAGCGAGGCTGCCCAGGCCTCCCTGCAGCCTGCCTTTCGTTACCCACTTGGCCTTCTGGAAATGTTCTCTTTGCTCTGTTCTTCTGCACTTCCAAAATTTTTAGTGAAGAGCAGATATGCTCTCTCATCTTGGTCTTCTAGTGAAGATATATATATATATGTATCTTAAATCCTTTTATGGTACATTTTAGGTATACAGTACGTTTACATTTATCATTGGGTGCTTGTACCTGTACATGATGGATCTTGGTTCTTATTTTTTCCCCATTCCTGTGCTCCCTTCCCTATTTACAAAGACTTTGTTTCCATATTTTCCTTTTCTCATAATTTTTCCTTTCCCCTTCCCATCCCACTTCTCCTACCCTTTTGGACCTTTTTGAATAGCTATATTTTTAAAGTTAAAATAAAAGTAAAATTTTGGATGTAATGCGCTTCCCTGGAGAGACACTTCGGCTGTGGGAAGGTGGGCTCACTGGTGCACCCATGGACACCCTGGGCTTTGTGATGGGATGTTGCTGCCCCCTGGTGCCAATTTGACTTACAGACCTGGCCGGAAGGACAACCTGGGCAGGCTGGGAGGAAATACACGAAGCTTGCCGCTTGTGGGTTGGGAGCACTTGGGCTTCACGTTGGGGCAGGAAATCACCGGCCCCTCCCTGCAGTGGCGGAGCATGATGTAGCATCAGTCCATCTGGGTTGCTACGACAAATTACCGTAAGCAAATGGCTCCTAAATGACAGAAATGTTCTGTCAGGCTCAGAAGTGCAAGGTCAAGGCAAGTTATACACAGCCTTGTGCACCTGCCCATGTTCCTGCACCGGGGCTGTGCTTGACCCGACCATGACTGCTGCCTGCTGCCGCAGGTCGGACTGCTGGTAAGGCCCTGCTTCCTGGTTCATACACAGCCATCTCATTGCGTCCTCGTATGGAGGAAGGGTTCAAGGCACCTCACTCGGGTCCTTTGCTTAAAGGGCGTTGATCCCATTCACACCTCCAAGTGCCATCACACGGGCGATTGGGTTTCAGTGTAGGAGTTGGGGTGGCAGAAGGGATACGTGCACAGACTGAGTCTGTAGCATGTAGGAATTCCCCTAACCTGGCCAAGAACTCTCCACCACTTGTTTGTGGGCCACAGCACTGGCTGTGCCTGGGGCAGGTTATGCCGGCTGTGGGCAGGGTCTGAGGTTTAGGTCAAGGATAAGCCTGAGTGGGCTGGGCCATTGTTCATCCCGGACCCCTACCTGGCTGTAGGCGTGGCTCACTCTAGAAGAAGGGAAATGATGAACCCCAGAATACCCTAAAAGGCCCATTCTCATCTCCAACCTGTCGCTCCCACCTGCCACTCCTGCTCCAGCTGTGGGTCTGGTCTATCCGACCCCACACCTGCTCATCTTCCTGCACCAGGCTTGTGTCTGACCCCACCACTGACCTTTGCCTGGGAGGGGAGGTGTGGACTGAGGGAGAGTTGTAGGCTTCCTACGAGAATTCACTCCTTGCAGGTCTTTTTCTGTTTGGGGAGTGCTCCCAACCAGTTTCCGTCTCCATCTGTCGTTCCCTCTATCCAGACCTCTTTTCCCTGTGATTGTCGTATGACCGGCACTTTCTTGTCATTCGGGTCTCAACCTATGTGTCACCTCCTTGGACAGGCCTTCCCAGACCCCCTCATTTTGACCAGTTCAGTGCTATATCTCAGCATCCAGTACAGCACCTGCCGCATAGGTGCTCAGCCAACGTGTGCTGACTGTGAACTCACAGGCATTGAGGAATATAGTGCCATGCAGCCTGCATTCCATGCGGTGGAAATAGTGTGGCCCCTGGACCAAAAGCCAGCAGCTTCGAGACAGGGCCCAGGAGCAGGACAGCCAGGCAAGAGCAGAATGGCGGCCTGGTGGCTGCTTCCTCACACTCCAAGTTCCACAGACTCCCAGGGCAAAGACTCGGCTTGGAGGTGTTTGCCAGTTTCAGTGGTGTAAACACTCTCAGTTTGGCCAGTTTCAAGCTACAGATAGTTTGGTAGCTGTCCCCCACCCCCAGTGGGGATTGAACCCAGTGTCTTGGACTCCATTTGTTTTATTTTAAGACAGGGCTTTGGTAAGTTGCTAACTCCCTCAAGCTGGGCTCAGACTTCGATCCTCTTGCCTCAACTTCTCAGAGTGCTGGGACCACAGGTGTGTGCACCACCCCCAGCAAGCTGGCTTTTTCTGTCTGTTTTTAAGATTTAAATTGGCTTTGTGAGCCAGTATGAGCTGGTTCCAGCGCATCACTGGCTCTGGGCTCCCTGCAGGCTGCGTGTGGGAGAAGCATGGCAAATCAGGCCGCAGGGCAGCAGGCAGCAGGACCACAGAGCCAGGGGCAGAAGAGGTGGGTGACAAGAAGTGACTCATCATGGGAACATAAGGGTAGACACAAATGTTGCATCAGCCAGGATTGAAATAGGACCAGCCAGAAATGATGAGCATTTCATTATTCTTCATACCATGTGAAGACATGAGGTCCAACTCTGAGCTCACCTCCTTGCTTGGTAGATAATACTAGTAGGCTCATATTAAGGGCATTCCCAGAATAAGAGATACTGTTACAGTTGTTCTTCCTTGACAGGTGATCGAGGCCTCAGATATTTTGCTAGAGGTGTTGGATGCCAGAGATCCTCTTGGTTGCAGGTGTCCTCAGGTAGAAGAGGTGATTGTCCAGAGTGGACATAAAAAGCTGATACTCGTACTAAATAAATCAGATCTGGTACCAGAGGAGAATTTGGAGAATTGGCTCAATTATTTGATGAAAGAATTGCCAACAGTGGTTTTCAAAGCCTTTACAAATCCAAAGGATAAAGGGAAGATAACCAAGGTAAAGAAGAAAGCTGTTTCATTCAAACGTAAAGTCTGCTTTGGCAAAGAGGGCCTTTTGAAACTTCTTGGAGGTTTTCAAGAGACTTTGGGCAAGCCTATCCAGGTTGGAGTGATTGGTTTCCCAAATGTGGGGAAAAGCATCATCATTAATAGTTTAAAACAAGAACGAATATGTAATGTTGCTATATCCACGGGGCTTACAAGGAGCATGCAGGTTGTTCCCTTGGACAAACAGATCACAATCATAGATAGTCCGTGTTTTCTTGTGTCACCACTTAACTCCTCCACTGCACTTGTTCTGCAGAGTCCAGCAAGTATTGAGGTAGTAAAGCCATTGGAGGCTGCCAGTGCCATCCTGTCCCAGGCTGATGCTAGACAGTTCTAAAATACAATGTTCCAGACTATAAGAATTCTCTGGAATTTTTTACTAATCTTGTTCAAAGAAGAGGTCTGCACCAAAAAGGTGGAAGTCCAAATGTTGAACGTACTGCCAAATTGCTGTGGTCTGAGTGGACAGGTGCTTCATTAGGTTACTACTGCCAACCCCCTACACTCTGGACTCCTCCACATTTTAATGAGAATATTGTGGCAGACCTGAAAAGGGGCTTTAATCTGGAAGAACTGGAAAAGAATAATGCACACAACATACAAGCCATCCGGGGCCCTTCTTCAGCCAGTGGCATACTTTTCTGGTCTTCCGGCCTGACAAATGGAATAATGGAGGAAAAAGACATATCTGAATTTCCAAAACTGAGGCAACAGGGGAAACAGGAGGAAAGAGAGGACAGTGAAGATAAGGAAAGGATCTCAGACATGTCCCCTATAGAAGAGACAAGTGAGGCACTGCCAGAGGAACCTATAGCAGGTGAACCATCTACAAGATCTTCTATTATCTTGCATGAAAAGACTAAAGAGGATGATGCTTATGACTTCAGCACAGATTATGTGTAACAGAACCTTATCCTTCTATAAGGATTTTCTTGACATTTCAGGCTAACTGCTAAAGTGTTATATGTATGTAATGTGCCAGTTTTGGTATGGCATAAGCTGTGTAAATTTTGTGAATATGTGTCATCTACACATTAAAGCGATTAAAGAAAAAAAAAAGAAAGGAGGAAAGAAACAGGACCAGCCACCAGGTGCAAGAGGAAGTGAGTAGGGGCCAGAGTCAAGCCTCCTTCAAGCCTCCTTCGCATTTCTCAAGCCCTTCTCCCCAAGCAGCACACCTCCCCCTAGTGGTCATGTCAGAAACTGCGTCAGCATCCTCAACTCCGTAGATCAGGTCCAACAGAGGACTTTGCTGAGCCTCTCTCTACAAGGCCTTCAGTGAGCCAGGCTGGGGAAAGGTGCAGACAGGGAAAGAGGAGAGTGATTTCTTTGGATACACAAAGATTTGTTACTAGGAGAAATACATTTCTGAGCTTTTAGCAAACACATCTTCCACCTCTCCTGTTCAAGCAGCTGGCCTGCTTCTTGTTGATAACCTCGAGGGAGGAATGGATGAAGGTGGCAAAGAGAAAGGGGTTGCAGGATCCTTATATGTGAATTCAGCACTCAGAGCCTTTATGAGTCTCCTGAGGAATCTAGAGGGTGATATTTCTCCCTAGCATGGTGAGAGAGAAAGGCTCACTCTGCCGCTGGAGTGGAGCCAGGAGGAGACACAGGGCAGGGTGCAGAGAGCCAGGGGCCACACAGGGCTGAAGGAGGGTTGCTGAGGTTTCTGCCACCTCCATCACCTCAGGGTCACAGGGCTGTGCTTCTGGTGCGTCCTGGCTGACTCCTCTCTCAGGGGGCTGTGCAGACAGTCCAGAGGTGGGCAGCCCTGGAGCTGGTCCTCAGCATGCCGAGCCAATATAAGGGCATTCCAGGCTCAAGCAAAAATAGGTACAGGTTTAGAGGTGTGATGAAATGTGCGTGGTTCATCCAGGAAGCCACAGTGCTTCTGTTGGCTGCAGCATCAATGAGGTTCGTAGCTATAGGAGAAATACGAACAAAATAGATTCCATCACAATCAAGGTCTAGAGGACCCTGAGGACTGAGGAATTAAGTATCAGACTGACACTGATATAGGGGACCGAGTAATGTAAATAATCCAAATAAGGGAAATGTTATAACTCTGAACCTATTAGATAACTGAAACGCCAAGTTCATGTTCTCTAAAATCGATGAATGAATTCTAGGAACAATAGAGGTTAAGACTAAAGAATATTTATTGAGGGAAAGACAGCTCCTTCCTGAGAGGGACAAGAGGGGACACCCAGGAAGTGGGTTGCCCGGGACCCTGTTTCTCAGGGGGTTTTTATGGGCAAAGCCACGAGGTGAGGCAGGTACAAAGTGGGACAAAACCATAGTCAACTAATAGGATCCAATGGGAAATCACAAGGTGGGCATGAGGTGGACCAAAACCATAATCAACCAATAAGATTACAATTACAGTTGCCCAGGTAATCTGATTAAATGGGCATCAAATGAGAAAACAAGTCACACAGCGAGCATCATGGAATGAATAAGGATTTTTGGGAAAGGAAATGGGCTAGGGAGATGTTGGCCCCCCCTGAAGGTGGTTGATGTCTATTTAGAGTATCAGTCACTGCTATTCATCCCTAGGGGAAGTATGTGAGTGTAGTTGTTCTTCTTTCTGAGACTTGGCCTTGAGTGAGTGGGCCTGTTATCTTCTGTATTGACTCTCTGGAGGGCCGCCCTGTCTAACTTCTAACTAACTTAGCTGTCTACAATAACATGGTCGAATTCACGTTTTCCAAAACTCAAATCTGATTCCCCAGTAGATCAGATTGCCAGGATATATGTGCCGCTGTCAGTCTGGTGGCAGGGAAGCCTGCAGGGGAGCTGCTAAATCATCAGGCAAGCGAGGCTGGGGCGCGGGTGCAGGGCAGGGAGGAGGAGACTCCTGGAAGGCTTGGAACCGGGCCTCGGGCCTCTTTGCTGCTAGGTCCGCAGCCATGGAGGAGTTGGGGATGCTGCTGCAGTGTCAGGAATAACCGCTAGGGGAGCACCCCACCGGATTCAAGTGCTCAGAGCCGTGCCTGGTGCGTGGGGAGAGAGCTCAGGGACCTCGCTGCATCCTGGAGCACTCGCAGCTCATCTAGATGGTCACGAAGACCTGAGCCAAATTAGACGCACCGGCCACCACGCAGTTGTTCAGAGTCTGGTTTATTTTCACACAGGCCCAGAAGGCTGTTTCACCCAAGGTACACGTGAACGTGGCTCCCACCCCAACCCCTTCAGAGTTTTTGTTTTCCAGAAGGAGTAAAGAAGTAACTCCTTTACTAAAATAAATACACTTAACATTGAAGAAAATAATAAATACATAAATAAATACATAAATAAATAGCTTCGATGGGATAAAAATGAGAAATAATACCTAACGAGGCCAGGGGGCTGCACATCTCAGGAATTAGATAATTAATGATTTATCTGGCAGCACAGGAGAAAATGAAATCCTTCTGGTCTTGAGTTGTGTGGGCGATGTCCCGAATCGAGGTGGTCTGCTGTTTTCAACAGTCCCAGTCCACTGGAGAAAACACAGGGACAAAGCGACATGGAGGAGGGATACTGGTGCCCCGCGTTGACGTGGACGCTTCACAAAAGATCTTCTCCAGATAGTAGTTCAGTTTCTTCCGGAAGTCATTCCAGTCCTTGATGGTGACAGGGTTTTTCTGTGGAAAAGCCAGGAAGATGATGTTAGATGCACCACTCACAAGCTGTGTGAACTCAGGCGAGGTGCTGAGCCACAGGCACCTAGAGCAGGCGCAGGTTGTAAGCAGAATGAGAGGCTGAGGGTCAGGTCAGGTCACGGCTGAGGGCACCACCTGCAGGGCATGCAGAGGGACAGCTTACCATGGGTGGGGTTCTGGGCTCAGGCACATACTTCTTGAGAGACTATGGGAAGAGACCAAAGAAGACAGTCAGATACTAAAAAGGCCCTGCTATTCTCCTCCCCAGAGGCCAGGTAAGGCCAACACGGGGATCCCCAAAACCCCTGACAATTTCATGTACCTCAAGATTTTTCTTCATCGTATGTGTTGCACTTGAGGAGTTCATAGCATTCAGGAATGCACATAGGTTTTTCCTCCAAAGGCTCGGCTCCTAAGGGGACAAGGAATACAGGTAAGGGCTGGGGAATGGAGGTGGCCAGGCCTCTCCATGGCCATGCTGTGCTCATACCCCCAGCATTCTGAGCCCACTGTTGGGGGCACCGCTGGAAACCTCCCTTGGTATTCTCCTTGCCCCAGGCAGGTCCCTGAGCTCCCCAAAGGGCACAGGCCTGGAAGTGAGTGCACACTCCAGGCAGGGCCTGTTCCTCCAAACACCTGGCTCCAGTGAGCTCTTGGAGAGCCTGGGTGGATCTTTCTGCACTCGGGGAGAAAACATATCCCAAACGAAGCTCTAGAAAAGGCAGAGAGTTAGCCAAGGAAAGTGTTTATAAGAAGCCAGATACCAGGGTTAATGCCTTGACTGAATTAAGGGCTCCTAGATATCAAGAAGAAAATCACAAGGGCTCCAGCTTGGAGATGGTGCAGCTTGTGAACTGTGTGTGCCCCAAAGACGGAACTAAACTCAGGGAATCCTTCAACTTCTATGTTCAATTCAAGATACACCAAGCAAACAAAGGTGAGGCAACCACTGCAGCTATCTGGAACTATGAAAAATAACTGCAAATAGTCATGCCCAGGGCTAGTGAGGGTAGAAAACATAAACTCAGGTTTTTTAAAGAGAAGGAAAGAAGCAAGCATGTCCACAGGGAAAATTTAGTCTGAGCAGGAAGGAGTTGTCCCATTGAAAACTGAGATTAAGGCCCTAGATACTATTTAGCTATATCTGCCTTTTCACTTTATAAACTAAAAAAATAGCCTCCACTGTACTAGTCACTGGGAACCTGCACCGAACACCTGTTAATGCACCACATCATCTGATTTTCATAACAACCCCTCTGAGACGGGCACTCTTTGGAAACACGTATGAGGTGGAATGATGGCTGAGTTCACCAGACAGGAGGTGGGTCGAGCCCCGGGTGTGTCCAAGTGTGGCACAGGGTACTTACACACAGTAGGATTCTGTCTTCTATGTCCTGCAGGGCCAGAGGAAGAGAGAGCCATGAGGCCTGTTGGCCCGAGGCACCTGCCAGAGCCCCCTGCCCTGGGCCAGCCTTCTCCCAAGTACTCACTGGATCTGCAGGTGCGGGCTCCAGCTCCCGCTGGAGTTCCCTGATGGTCCCATTGAAGAGCGTCACGTTTGCGTTCCTGTGCTGTTGGCCAGCAACTTGGAGCCCAGGGCGGAAGAGGAGCAAGGACAGGAGCAGGGTCGGGAAGCCGCTCAGGCCAGGGATGGCAGCACACATTTTGTCTCGTCCAGGTCCTCGGTGGAGTTCTGAGGAGTCCGCAGCAGCTGCCTGCCTTATATGTGCCGAGTAGTGTCCCCACAACCGAGGGCGAGAGGGGTGTGGCGGGCAGGCATCGGAAGGATCTTTATCTGACATGGAACCTCCATAGGAAACCACAGACTTATTCATCACTTTCTAGTACTCCAGCTCAGCAAGGTGGGAAAAAAGATTACTTCAAAGGTATCTCCACGTCTTGTCGAGGAGAAGAGAGAGGGCCAGAGTGGAGAGAGGCGAGAGGGCCCTCCGAGTGGGGGAGGCACCTGGATTTTGAGCTGGCCCAGGCCCTCTGCCCAGGGGGACTTCATCCTGCCACCCCTGGACCGGCCGGGCCTTCACTGCCCACTCTGCCCGGTGCTGTCTGGTCCTGGTCGGGAATACTGGAACAGACAAGAGTTCATCCAGTGGCCTGTCACATGGCCACCCATCCACATGTGGGCGCACCGTGTGAGACGTGCATCTCCTGACACCCTCTGATGCCGATTACGGTGCTCAAGCCCCGGTGGTCTCCCCTGGGCTCTGGGCAGCCTTTTCTGGACACTGTTGCTCCTGGTGGGTGGATGGAGCC